AAAAATTATATTAAGAATCGGATTCATATGTTACAAGGATATCAACTTGAATCTCATCCTTAATTTCAGGATTTTCTTAATAAATGACATGTAAAATCATCACCTGAAATTAATTTAAAGACAAATATATCAATCTGAAATTGCTATTTCTCATTGTTCCATTTCCATCTACTGTAATGACTGCACAAAAGGAAGAATCTGAAACAAATGAAATTAAAATTTGTTTTTCTCATAATTTTCCACCTAGAAAAAAAAAACGTAACGCTTTGTCCAAAGCTTTTGTCTAACGGTGTTACATGATTTTAGTTCAGTTTACTTTCTGATTTCATGTTAAAGAAGAAGAAAAAAAAAAAGACTACATCACATGTTATCAGCTAAAAAATAAACATAAACATAATTTTCCCGTTATCAGCAAGCAGTATTTTATATTATAAATTCTCAGTTTCTAAATAATAATTTGTAATTAGTCTCAACAATTACATCCCAAAAGACTAAAATGGCATGCATTTGATGAATTCTCTTTTTCCATCACATCATTTTCACGTTGACGAGTCGTTATTGATTTGTTGGCAAAAGACTAATGTTTATTTATGTGATAAATATGGTCGCAAACCTAATATTCCACTCACGTCGTGCCAACTATAAAATTTATGGTCGAATGTACATTTTTTAAATTTTCGCATGATAAACTCAAAATATATACTTTAATTGATGATGAAAATGAATCATGAAAATGGTGAAACTTGCATGCAATATTATTATTTTATTGATTAAGTTTGAGTATGAGAAATTTGATGGGAACTGGTGCAGAATGAAGTGATAAAGCCTACGGTAAACGGAATTCTAGACATTATGAAAGCATGCATGAAGGCGAAAACAGTGCGAAGGCTTGTATTTACATCCTCAGGAGCAACCCTTAAGGTTACTGAGAACAAAAAACCCGTTTACGACGAAAGCTGCTGGAGTGACGTTGAGTTTGGTCGGAGAGTGAAGATGCCTGGTTGGGTTAGTAATTTATCTCCTCACTTGATATGAACAATTTTAATATGAAGACTAGTATATAGCATGTTGTTCAACAACTTGAAATGAACCATTCAAATTTCATATTGGAAGACAATACTATTTCTATGATGTCCTAAGGGCCAAGTTACAGAAAATTAAAAAAGCCTCTAAACCATGCTGTGTTCTTCCTGATTCTCTGTGATATTATGAATAATGTTTCTTTATGTAGTTTTATTTCGTTTCTAAAACACTGGCGGAGAAAGAAGCATGGAACTTTGCCAAAGAACATGGCATGGACTTCATCACTATCATTCCACCACTTGTTGTTGGTCCCTTTCTGGTGCCGACAATGCCATCCAGCCTAATCACTGCCCTTTCGCCCATCACAGGTACATTATGTAATTAGAGATAGAAAAATTGCACTTACTTCTCTGATGTTAAATAACATGCATAGAGGTGTGAGTGTCATTTAAGGTAATATCAGTTTAAACAAGTATAATCTTAAACATATATTATGATTATTGGCAGGAAAAGAGGGCTTTTATTCGATCATAAAGCAAGGTCAATTCGTGCATGTAGATGATCTTTGTCTTGCTCACATATTTTTGTTTGAACAACCAAAAGTTGAAGGGAGGTATATATGCAGTGCATGTGACACTACTATTCATCACATTGCCAAACTGATCAACCAAAAATACCCTGAGTACAAGGTCCCCACCAAGTAAGTCCCCAATTAACTACTTTAAATATTACATTCACCACTTCAACCAGTTGAACTTGAAATTCATCAAGTTATTTGGTCCACATCCTACTTCTTTTACTGCATGAACAAAATCACAGTAACAAGAATAAGGTTGGGCTAATTCTACACACTGGATTTTTAGGTTCAAGAACATTCCAGATGAATTGGAGCTAGTCAGATTTTCTTCGAAGAAGATCACAGACTTGGGATTCCAATTTAAGTACAGCTTAGATGACATGTACCGTGGAGCAATACTCATGCAGAGATAAAGGGCTTCTTCCTATACCTGCAGAATCTCCACAAAGTAGTGTCATTCAGAAAGCAAACTCCACTAAGTAGTGTCATTCAGAGAGCAGAAACTCCAAGTGGCATCATCCCCCTTTCATGTGCATGCGGTTCTTGATTATTCTCAATGTCATTTTTTTTTATGAAGTTAGATATGTTGGCTAAAATAAAATATTATATTTAAATGTTAATTGGAATATTTTGATTTTGCAAATATCTGGAGCAGCTAATATTACAATTCTATATATTCATTATTTTAATTTTAGAGAGTTAATGTTAGGATTTCATAAAGCTGGTTCAGAACCTATAAATACTCATCATTTAGTTTCACACATCATAAAAAGCAATAACATTTAATATCATCAATATCTTTGTTATCAAATTGGTATCTAAGCTATGATTTGAGTGTGAGAGAATTTGAAGAGAGTAATAACTAGTATAATTAATGATGTAACTCTATCTTGATTGACTAAAGAAGTCAATTATGATAAATGGAGTCTCCAAATGAAGTTTGTTCTGAAATTCCAAAGTAATTATAGGATAGTCGATGATTGTTTTAAGGAACTAGAAAGTACTAAAGATCTTTCAACAATCGCAATCAAAGTGTTGAGAGAGAGCAGCAGAAGGGTAAGTACTAAAACTTTAAAAGAATCATGAAATGCGTTAACACACAAGGGAAATGATCAAATTAAACAAGTTCAACTATAGACATTATATGGTGAGTTGGAAAACATGAGAATGAAGTAGTCAAAAAGAGTTTTTGTGTACATCACGTGTGTTTAAACTGTGGTGAATAATCTTAATCGGGATAGAGAGATGCTTTCCAAAACCTATGTTGTACAGAAGATCTTGAGATCATTGAACGATGACTTTGAGAATAAAACGTGTGTAATCAAAGAATAAAAGAACTTGTTTGAGTTCACGATATAAGAGCTGACTGGTTCTCTTAGAGCCCACATAACGGAAGAAGTAAAAGGAGGAAACAATTTTTCAAATGCTCCAAAGCGAGAAAATTGTGAAAGAAGAGAACACTCTCTATTCTAAGAACACTCGAGGAAGAAGACATGGACATAATGGTTGAGGTTGAGGTTGCTGAGGTGGTAGAAGTCATGAGAAAGAAGAAGAAGATCAACAAACCTGGCTTGGTAGAGGACATGGTTGGAGGGGAGGTCAGTCGACGAGTCACTCAAATGTTGAGTGTTTCAAGTATGGTAAATATGTTACAATTGTGGTAAGGTAGGACATTTTGAGAAAGAATGTCAAGTTGAGAAAAAGATAGGAGAGACCTATCTTGTAGAGGAGACGAAAGCTGGAGAAGCAATGCTATTGATGGCCGATCATAACTCGACAATACATATAAGAGCATATTACAACTCGAGAAATAACAGTAATGGAGTTCGGAAAGATACCGATCATAACTCAGTATGGTATCAGTATATAAGTGAAAGTAGCCATTTATGTGGAGACGAGCACTTATTTAACGAATTGAAGAAAGTTGAAAACGGTCATGTATCTTTTAGAGATGCTTCAAAGATCTCGATAAAAAGCTGATGCACTATTTGTTTCTTGTAGAAAGATGACCTAGTCGAGTCGATCCTAGATATGTACTATGTTTCAGATCTCAAGAGTAATCTTTTGAGTAACTGATGAAGAGAGGATACTCCGCATTCATGAAAGATCAAGTACTACAATAGAAGGACAAGCTTGGAAGGTTGATTGCTCGAGTTGAGATGGGAAAGAATATAACAATCAGGCCGTAGATGAGAAACATTCGGGAAAGGTGTTCAAAACTAAATGTAGGGAACTCGTTATTGAAGAGAGATTCACAATCTACTGACTCTATTATTTCTTCCTCATCCTCCTCGATTTTTGAACTGACTATAACTAGAGGTGTAGCAACTCATCTTCCTCTAACATCCTCCGATGTATGATGAGTTTAAGAGCACAATGGCAATTGATTTCAAGATGACCGATCTGAGTATGATGAAGTTTTTCCTTGGTTTGGAGGTTAGATAAGAGGAATTGGGGATATTTGTGTCCCAAAAGGCATATGCAAAGAGAAATCATCGATCTGGTCACTTGTTTTTTTATGATTTAACTGAGTTGATTCATTATTATAATCATGATGTCTAAGTTGATGAAACAAGTGAGTGAAACTGGGGAGAGGGAGACTCATTAAAGGATGTTAGAGGGAGTCAAGTTGCTCCACTACTAGTTATATCCAATTTGAAAGTCGAGGAGGAGGAAAAAATAACAGAGTCAATAGATTGTGAATTTCTCACTCTTCCTAGTTCGAAGTCGAACTTGGTGGAGCCAAATTTGAGTAGTAGATTTCGAAGCAATCTTGTCTAAGCTCATTAATCATTATATTCTTTAAAGAATAAAATTACTTTAAGAGACAAGCATACAAAGGTAAGTCCACAAGAGCGAAAGTATGTTGGGGTTGAAAAGTGTAAGAAAAGATTAAGAGACGAGGTATTATGGATGAGAAGATCCAAGTTATAGAATGTAACGACATGTGGATGATGACTGAATTGTCGAACTATGTTTATTCTATTGGTGTGAAACAGGTGTTCAAGAAGAAAAGAGATGAAAGATTGACAACAAATCGGACCAAAAATGAAAGAGGAAATAAACATTAAAGTTGATCATATTAGTTTTTAACCCAATCTCAATCAGTTAAAGAGAAACATTTAATTTTACAGGAGAGTTTTATTGAATAAAACATATTAGATTTAAATTACACAATTAATATTTCGATTCTATATATTTATTATTTTAATTACAAAGAATTAATATTAGGATTTCATAAATTCCATTCTTAACATATAACCAATTATATCATTCAGTTTTATACACCATTACAAGCAATAACATTTAGATTTCTTTATTATCCTAAGTGGTTTGTAATAATCTAACACCAAACATGCATATTGTATACATTGTTGTTAATTAATTCGCATAAGATTGCATGTTGGAGGCTTATCTACGGTTTTAAATGCTAAATGTGTATGCTGATTCATGAGATTATGGTAGCATAGTTGTTAATTTATCCAATATCATGTTTATTATTTGAATAAATAAAGCTGTTTCTATATTTCCTGTGAATGATATTCTGATTGTTCATTTACGTGTTTAAATCTATAAAAGTTGTTTAATTATATTAACGAATTTATTATCATTAATATAATTAAAATAACATTAAAATTGGGTTTATCTATTTAATAAATATAAAAAACTAATTATTATAAAATCATTATTTTTATTTATTAAAATGAATATTTGCAAAATAAATTTTTCTCAAGCCGCTAATGTGATTCACGTGGCAAAAATTGCTTTCATCTTTTATTTATGCATTGTGCTCTGTATATAAAATAAAAAAATAAAAAAATATTAAATATTAATAATATCTAAAATTTACCAATTTAAATTAAAATAATAATTTAATATTTTTATTATAAGAGATAATAAAAATATCTTAATACATAATTTAAATAAATAATAATAAAATACGTATTTTTGGTTCGTTCTAATATTTATCTATTTAAATTTATTTATTTTTTTAATTCTTGTTTTCTGTTTTGTTTGTAATTTTTGTTATTCTTTGCTTGTAATTCTTGTTATTTGCTTTTTTAATTCTTGTTATTTTCTTTTTTATATGTGATTATTACTTTATTCAATTTTATTATCACACTTTTTTTTTTATTGATGTCTTCCATTTATACCTTAACAGGTTGAACTTTTTTTTCTTGATTTTCCATTGATTTTTCATCCTCATAATATAATATGAAAAATACATTTTCTTCTTAGAACATTCGTTCTTTGTGTCTTTTTTTATATTATTGTCTTTTAAAATAAGCAAATTTATGATAAATTTAAACCCTTAAATTTTTGCAATTTTTTTATTTCAGACTTAAAGTTTTTTAATTTTACTAAGCTCTTCGTCTTTTTACGTGAAAATTTTATCTTTAATTTTTAAGATCTCTTCAATCTTTTCTTTTGTGAGGCTATTTGTTATAACTTTCTGTTCATGTCTAGCATTTCAAATAACTAGTGCGGTTCAGGTAATGAAATTTATGATTTTTGTGAATAAGTTTTTTCGATATATCATGTAAATATATCTTCATCTTTTATTCATATATAATTGTACATTATATACATAGAGAAAAAATATACAAAATATCACATATTAAGAATGACTAAATAATAACTAAGTAAATCAAAATAATATCTTTATGTATTTTTCTCTTATTTTAAAATATAATAAAAATCTACTAGAACCTAATCTAAATATTCTCTACTGCACTTCAAGGCAAGACGCGTGAATTGAGATCAGGAGGCTCGTGCCTCATTCGTTGCCTTCGTTAAGCAGTGTGTAATTAGAAGCGGTGATAGAAACGATGTTCTGATTGTTGATGCGGCCCTACAGAGTATTGATTCTGTGGTTGTGGCTGGGTTTGATCTAAACGAAGCAATTTCTAAACTGAAATTGGAACCAGCGTGGCATCTTGATCATGGCACAAGTGTAGTGTTATCGAAGCGATAGGGCTAGATTGGAATTGGAGTGATTCAAATGGTGAAGAATAGATTCAACGTGCAACAGGCAGAGCAATATGTCATGCGGATCCTGAATTGGTTCGGTTCGTAGCAAGTTTAATGTTGTAAAATAGGGCTATTTCAAATCTCACAAACCTAGAATATACACTAACCTAAAATGTGAACTAATTTATAAATAAAATGATACTTTGACAACCTAAATCCATATAAGTTTTATAAACAATTCTCTTTTAATATTATAATAATAATTTTACTTTATTTTTATTTTTATTAAATAATTTTATAAATTATTATATTAATAAAAATAACTCATTTAAAGAGTTGTATGATTTTTGGTTGTCAAAATATCACCACTCAATTTAGAATGTGTTCCACCCCTCGCGTGTTTCTATTACGTAACCATCCAGCATCCATATTAAATGCAGAAATAAATTTGTTATTGATACTTGTACTTATAAATAAACTAGTAGATTACCCTACACTATTCTAGAAGAATACTTTTCTATTTATCTTTTTTTATCTCTTTTTTATTTAATTTTTTAAGAATTTTGATACAAACCAACCAGTGGACCCGGACCCAATAAGGAAGGATGACCCAATAGTAAGGAAACGAGCAAGAAAGAAGCCAGCGTGGATGACTGATTATGTCTGCGGACAAAATTAGAATATCTCGATATGCTCAAATTATGTCTGCGGACAAAATTAGAAGATCCTTATATGCTCAAATTAATTCCTGAAATTCTGCTGCAAATTATTAGTTTAATTCCTGTTTTATTTCCCTAATTTTTGCTTGATTGTTAGCACCCAATTCCTTTTAATAGCTATGATGTAATCAAAACATAACAGAATAAAAGTTTTTCAAGATCCTTTTTCCCCCAAATTCTATTATTCTCTTTCCCTTAATTTTCTGAGGAGTGGACACTCACTCGAAGAGTGTTAAAACCTTTAAGCATTCTGCAGCAAAGTGTATCATTGGTGCTTTCATCATGGACACAACTGAGCTTATGAGCGCCCTTCAATCCAATATCGATGCACAGATGGTAAAGTTTCGCGAATTACTCGAGTTCCATACCGAGTCAGTTCATTCCACACTCCACCAACACCTGGTAGAAGTTGATTCGAAGGTCGCAAACTTACACGTCGAAGGCAAAAAACAACCACAGAATGCATTTGCCGGGCAGACGTCACGTGCGCTGAAATTAAACGTACCACGTTTTGATGGTTCCAATCTCTTGGATTGGATTTTCCAGATTGAAGCTTTCTTCAACTTCCACGAAACTCCGGAAGAGTCCCGACTTCAGATCGTAGCCTTCCATCTTGACGGACGCGCTGCTGGCTGGTTCCAATGGGCAACACGTAACAATTTGTTACCATCGTGGCCAATTTTTCTCACCGCTGTTCGTCACCGCTTCAGTCCAACTCAGTACGAAGACATTGAAGGTGAACTCTCCAAATTAACTCAAACCGGCTCTGTAGCTGATTTTCAAGCCCAGTTTGAAGAATTGATGAACAAGGTCAACGGTATCTCCGAATCACTACTGATCAGTTTTTTCATTACGGGACTGAAAAAGCATTTGAGACGGGAATTGCAATTTCACCGACCTGCTATGTTAATGGAAACTTTCGCCATGGCCAGAGCATATGAGGCTCGTTTTGATGACACACCAACCATAGGCAAATTGTGGTCTCGCGGCCCACAACACTCCACAGGCTCACATACCCAACCTAACCACAATCAAACAAACCGATCCAATTCAAATCCAAATAACCCATTAAACAATACTGCAACATCGTTACCACCACTCTTACCCACACCACACTCAAACCCTGCTGTGCGGAACGTGCCCTCTGTCGAACTCCGAGACCGCCGTTCAAAAGGTCTCTGTTTTAAATGTGATGAGAAATGGAACCCATCTCACCGATGCCAAAACCGCGTGCTTATCCTCATGGGAGCGGATGAAGAGGAACCCCCACCGGAATCCGAGGATAACTCAATAGATGATGTCTCGGGTGACATATCCAGCCTTCACTCCTTGTCCAGCCAGCTCCAAAGTCGATCCTTGCGTGTTTCCGGCCTTTATAACCAAACAAAATTCACCATCCTCATTGACAGCGGGAGCACTCACAACTTTATCAAGCCTGCGTTAGTGGAACGATTGGGGTTACCTATCAAACCATGCCCTCGTTTCAAGGTCGCAACTGGTTGTGGAACCTTCTTGGTTTGTCAATTTTGCTGCCATAATGTCCCTCTTATCTTACAAGACATTAAATTTGAGGTGGATTTGTTTATCCTGAACATTGAAGGTCTCGATGTTGTGTTGGGTTTTCCTTGGTTGCAATCTTTGGGCAAAGTTGCTCATGATTATTCGGCTCTCACTATGGAGTTCATGTGACAAGGGACCCAAGTTACTTTAGTAGGTGATGCCTCTCTAGCCTCACAATCAGTGTCACTGCATCAGCTTCAAGCATTGGTTCACACCAATAATGTGGCCAGTGTTTTTACCATCACGACGTCCCTTCAAGACGTTGATTCTCTCCCAAGACCATCCAGCAATTTTCCATCCAACCTACCCAGCCCAATTACTGATCTATTACAACGTTTTAAGTCCATTTTTTCTACACCCATAGAATTTCCTCCTCACAGAACGGTTGACCATCACATCCATCTTGTTGAAGGATCCAAGCCAGTCAATGTGAGGCCCTATCGATATCCTCAATTTCAAAAATCTGTTCTTAAATGGAGACAATACTTGTTAGGTAATTTTTTTATCATCCGAACTGATCATAAGAGCATCAAGGAATTACTTCAGCAAGTAATACATACTCCAGAACAGCAGTCGTATGTGCGCAAACTCTTGGAGTTCCAATTTCGCATCGAGTACAAACCTGAGGCTTCCAATAAAGTGGCTGACGCACTTTCACGTGTGCTGGCTGACTGGCCAGACAGTGACCACACACCCGCACTCAGAGCATTAGTGTCATCACCTACATATGGTATTATTACTCTCCAAAAAGATAATGCTTCAGATCTGTTCTATCAGACTTTTCGTGAACAACACATGCAGGGATTGCTCCGATACCCTTATACTATCGTGAATGGGGTCCTCTTCCATACCGGTCGTTATGTGATCAACCCAACATCTCCTCTATGTCATACAATCATTAGCGAATTTCATGATACACCAAGTGGTGGCCCTGCTGGTGTGAAACATACCCTAGTTCGTGTTGCTGCCAATTTTTATTGGTCCGGTATGCGTAAAGCAGTGGAAGAGTATGTTGGCTCATGTCTTACTTGCCAACAAATTAAATACTCAACGCAGGTTCCAGCGGGACTCCTTCAACCTCTCCCGATTCCAGAGATGGTTTGGGAAGATGTGACAATGGATTTTATTACGGGTCTCCCTCCCTCTCAAGGATCCACGGTTATCCTTGTTGTTGTGGATCGATTATCGAAAACAACTCCCTTTGGTGCTCTTCCCACGTCATTTACTGCTTCCAAAGTAGCTGAGTTGTTTGTGTCTTTGGTTGTGCGTCACCATGGGTACCCTCGTTCCATTGTGTCTGATCGTGATCCGATCTTCATTAGCTCTTTTTGGCGCAAGCTGTTTGAACTTAGTGGCACCAAGCTTGCTATGAGCAGTGCCTATCACCCTCAAACTGACGGTCAAACCGAGGTAGTTAACCGTGGGTTGGAACAATATCTTCGTGCCTTCACTCAACATAAACAGTCTTCATGTGTTGCATTCCTCCCGTGGGCCGAATTTCATTATAACACCAGCTACCATAGTACCTTGCAAATGTCCCATTTCGAGGCTCTTTATGGTCGAAGACCACCCACCATTCCGGCATATACTAGGGGATCCACTTCTATACAAGTATTGGATGAGGCCCTAACTTCTCGTGACGAATTACTCCGCACTTTGAAGACAAATTTAACTGCTGCTCAACATAGAATGCGTCAGAAGGCCAATGCACATCGTCGAGACATTACTCTCGCTGTTGGTGATTTGGTTCTCGTACGCCTCAGACCGTATCGCCAAACATCAGTCCATCAATTGAAACACCACAAGCTCTCGAAGAGGTTCTATGGTCCTTATAGCATCATCGAGCGCATTGGGACAGTGGCATACAAACTCCAACTTCCTCCTGGTAGTCGCATTCACCCAATTTTTCATATGTCGGCTCTTAAACCTTTTCGTGGTACTGATAAGATGTCTGCATGTGACTTACCCTTGGAAAGCTTTGATAACCAACCTATTGATCAACCAAGGGCAATTTTAGATTGGTGAACTCAGTTAGTTCACGGGCAACCACAGGAACAACTCTTGGTGCATTGGGAGGGATGTCCAGTTGATGAAGCTTCCTGGGAAGACTTGGAAAATTTCCGCACTTGTTATCCTGATTTTCACCTTGAGGACAAGGTGAGTTCTGCAGAAGGGGAAAATGATACAAACCAACCAGTGGACCCAGACCCAATAAGGAAGGATGACCCAATAGTAAGGAAACGAACAAGAAAGAAGCCAGCGTGGATGACTGATTATGTCTGCAGACAAAATTAGAAGATCCTGATATGCTCAAATTATGTCTGTGGACAAAATTAGAAGATCCTGATATGCTCAAATTAATTCCTGAAATTCTGCTGCAAATTATTAGTTTAATTCCTGTTTTATTTCCCTAATTTTCGCTTGATTGTTAGCACCCAATTCCTTTTAATAGCTATGATGTAATCAAAACAGAACAGAATAAAAGTTTTTCAATATCCTTTTTCCCCCAAATTCTATTATTCTCTTTCCCTTAATTTTCTGAGGAGTGGACACTCACTCGAAGAGTGTTAAAACCTTTGAGCATTCTGCAGCAGAGTGTATCAAATTTCTTATTAGTTTCTTATATTTGAAATAATTCATGTTGAGAAGTTTTTGATGTATCTATGATACTTATAGATATATAGTATATTACAGATAAATATTTAAAAATAATGATTATATACAT